GCAGGTTTGTGGAACCATTTGCATCATCAGCGAACAAGAAATTGTTGATGACCACATATTGTCCATCGGATTCCAAAGTAGAAGATGAGCCACCACGCACGAGGGATTGATGACGGGCCAGCGTTCCCGGTCGTCCGAAGACGTCGGCGACGGGCTTGATATCAGAAGATCTGCAGGAGCAGAAATCCATGTTTGTGGAGCTGTACTCCTGATAATCCTTGTGTTCCGCCAGGATACGATCGTCTATGTGGTTGCGCCAGATGAATTCCTCATCGTCGGAACATGCTGAGAGCAGAACCTCAAAGATGTGGTGGTCGGCTTCAAAGACCAGTTTCCAAGTGTGGGGTGCCCCGGGACTGTAGAGGCCTATCCGTATGGTCAATCCAAGTCTCGTGAAGAAAAGAAAACATATTCTCTCACCTTTGCCGTGGTTGGGCTGCTCAATGCGGGCGACGGCCAAGGTGATCGCAAATTTGACTTTGTAGTGATCGGCCTTCGCTACTGATGCAAGTATAAGGTAAGATTTGAAGAGCAGACAGGCCATGTACTCCGTGTGAGGTTGGGTCTCACGAGTGCTCTGCCAGGTTACATGCAATGTACCGCAAAGAATCACATGCCCTAAAAGACGAACCGGTAGCGACTATATCTGCCATCAGCTTTGCTGGAGCAGGATTGATAGTGGGTATGCACCTTCTCGTGGAAATCCAACCTGTCTTGCAGCAGCCATGTTTTTTCAATGCGTTCGCGCATGCGAGGAGCATCGCTATTGGCCACATTCACTTGATGAACCGCTTCATCCAATCTGTGTCGCACCTTCTCCAGCAATCGATTGGTGTCTGGACAGTCGATTGCCGGCGTATGCTTCTCGATCTCACGGAAAAGCAAGGGATACTTGCACAATCTCTGAATGGGCTGTGGAAACGTCAGTTGAGGAATTTGTGTCTTAATCTCTCAGCTAGCAGGTGCTTACTTTAAAAAGCAAATCATAAAGCTCCATGGCTCGTTTCCCATAGTCTCCACGGTTGTCCCATGAGTTGGATGCACCTATCAAAGCCTCTGTTCCTTTTCCGTGCAAATTATCTGAAGATCTTCCAGCACGTTTGGGTGCTTTTAACACTTCTTGATACTTGGCGGAATACTCTTCGTAAACAAAAAACGCCATGATCTGTGTCACGTTAACGAAGCTGCAACGCAATAATTTGCTAGAGCCTCACAGTTTTGTCAAATGCCCTTGCCACCTCGGCTGCAGCCGCTGGGTCGGCAAGAATGGGATAAGCAGTCACGTCCCCAAGATTTTTGCCCGCATCCAACCCATGATCCTGGATCATTTGCGCAGTGCACGGCAAGGCACGGGTGATATCTGCAAGTAGCCTGCCGTGGAGCTCAAGCATTTCGGTAACATTGCGCGCCATCGTTTGTCTGACGTCCGAGGAAATCCAAACACAATCCCGAAGTATGGGAAGGTATTTCTATTTACTAGAATCAGATTTGGGTGAATCTCAACCTGGAAAGTACACTCACATCTTTCAACGACCGCAAATCCCGAATATAGTACTCCTCAGTAGTGATCAATTCCTCGAGCGCATGCTTTCTGTCGAGCATTCGAGCTATTGTGGCTGGGTCCAAAAACCCCGAGCTCGATCGCCGAGAGGTTGAGTGGCCAGACAATGGAAACGATGCCAGGGTTATTGATGCGGTCTTGACTGCACTCACGAACCCTGAAGACGAGCGCCCTGTTCTACACGATCTCAACGAGATACACTCTCCACCTGCATTGGCTGTGTCCGGCGAAAGATACTTGGGAGACTTTCGGAACATGGTCTTCATCCACTTATGAAATACATATGGATTTCTCTCTTGGTCACCAACTTCTTTCACCGTGATTGTTGGGATGTTGGCAGAGTTTGCTGTGACGAACGATGCATTATCTGGGGGGCTGGGTGGATCGGTGCTGTCCCACGGCGCGTCCTCCACAGCGTCCTCTTCGAAATCAGGCAATGGGACGCCATTCGTGTCCAATTGACATCCGAGTTCGACAATGTGCGAAGCTGTAGTTTCTGCATCTTCGACTGTTCGAGGAACTTGTGCGTCTATGTTTGGCGAGGTAAGTCTGGATGAGCTGCTTTTGACGTTGCGAGGAGGGGTGTGAGATAGATCCTGATTGGATTCCCGGAGAGAAAGCGCCCCGCTGAAGAAGGAACTGGCATCACTAGGAATTGACGATCGAGATCTGTCGAGATATGGGATGCCATAAAAGTGTTTTTCTTTTGTAAAAAGGGAATAGTTGTCGGTGCAGGACGAGACTTTGTGTGTTAGTAAAGCCATGGGCGCTGTTGTTGCAACGTTCGTTCCTCAACGGTTGTGTATTTGAGGAACCTGCCCAGATGCGCCGGCCAACGAGTGTGGTGTTTTAGGAACTGTAGGACTCCGGGATATAAAATGAGGGTCGTATTGTCGATGAGCAGAAATTTGACGTGTGTTTTTTTTTCTCCGACTCCAAAGGCGTTTGAGCCAGTATACAGGATTCGAAGTCTGTTTTAAAACAGGCAGACTGCGAGTCGTATATCTGACGAAGAAACGAGGGACGCGAAAGGTTTCCAAAATGATTGCTGCGATCGAATTGACCACTATGCGGCGTAACACCTAAACATCTCGTAAAACACAAGAGGGCTTAAGTTTCTTTGGCTGAAAGGCGAAGCGCGGAAAAGTTGGAGTGCTGCGGTTGTTGTTATTGTTGTCGTTGTTGTAGCCGCCGCTGGCTAGGTACTTGTTGCCGGTGGTTGCAGTTGGATGCTTCTGTTGAAAACGAACGACGACGACGAATGACGGGGTGAGATGGGCGTGCACGTAGAGATCGAAGAGGAGTGCGATGAAATAAGAGGCCCAGTGAATATTTGGGAAGGGGGAGGGGGGGTGGGGGTGCAGACGTAGGAGGTAGGTACTTTTCTCTCCAGGTGGTGTGGGTAGGGGGGTGTAGGCAGAGCACAGCAAAAGCGGTATGGCATCGTCTTTGGTACCTGAGTGGAACAGATCAGCAAGCGGAACCCAGCGGTCAGCAAGTATTTGGCCGCGAGAGCGAGAGGTCGATTCTTGAGATGCTGGATCGAGATACTTGGCTGGCAGACGTCAACAACAACAAAAACATCAACAACAACGACGACGACGACGACGACGACCCAATGGACAACAAGTGTTTTTGCGTCCTCTCCTTTGCACCCTCTCCACCTCTTCTCCTCCTACTGCTCTCCTACGGCCCCCTCCTCGTCCGTTTTTTTTTCAACCCCTTCGTCCCTGGCTGTGTCTCACTTGGTGAACAACACCGCCCAAGCGAGAGAAACCCCCCCAAGCATGCCCAGGCGAGCTCGAGCCATTCCCAAAAGCACTCACTCATCAGGAAAAAAAAAAAAAAAAATTCAACGGGACCCAATCGAGCGCGAACGCGATGGCGGATCATTTCTTTTCAGCCCCCAGATTCGATGCTTGGCCTTGAAAGCCCATTAGGGAAAGGTCACAATCCTTGGTAATGACGACTGACGCACACATGTACGGACACTCTGCCGTGCAGCAGTGAGATAGCTTGCAGCTCGCAGCGTGGAACCATCTCATCGTCCAATCGACAGCTGGTGATGCGTGGCGCTTGAAAAGGAGGTTTGTCCGAAGACGGATCCAGTCGATTGGGCGGGTATTGGACAACCACCAGAGATCTTGGCTCGTGGTTTTTTTCTGTTCGGAGTCCGGCGGACGGAGATGCGCGTGCAGCTCGCTCCTCGGGTAGGTAGAAGTGGACAATATGTAACCCATCGAGCGCCCGTACTTAGTATGTAGATAGAGTACCGAAGTACCTATGTCGTTCTCGAACCGAGCGCATACATGTAACTCGGGCCTCTTGACTCTTTCTCTCGATAGAGAGCGCAGCAACGTGCTTGCTTAAGAATCTACCTAAAGTAGTGCACCACCACCACCACCACCGACTTGTTTATCAGCTTCCCCGGACATCTCGGTTGTGTGAAGTGCCTTCCTTGCCTGCACGGCAGAGAAATCGGATTGGGGCTCAAAATGATCGACGCAAGCAATATCCATCCATCCCCTTGCCCGTTTTCAGAATCTGATTGCTGATCACGATCCAGCATCCTCACTTCGTATGCAACATACCTAACAAATAACGCCACAAAGCCTCATGATTTTGTGTCAAGTTTTGCATAGAGAAATTTCACTAGATTTGGAACATGATACGTTCTAAGGAACTAACCGGCCCTTGATTCCAACTGTGCGTCCATGAAATCTAGCGAGCGGTTGATGATTTGATTGATTTGATGCCATCTCGCGCTCCTCCCGGGGTTACTATTTTATTTATCATCATCATCCAGCGACGAAACTTGCAAATAACGTTTTGCAACACATCCTGACGCTTGTGCTACCCGTGTGCCTGTGCCTGACCTTGACGAACCAGAAAGCCGGGAACCACAATTACAAACCGAGCCTGACTTCCATCCACTTCAGAGCTCCCGATGCTCAATCCTGCAGACTCAACATCGCATGTCGAATTCTGCCGATGAGGTATGCTATCCGCCACGATGCTGGTTTGCAGCTGCAAATACTCCATCGCATTTGAAGACCTCCTAAAGAGGAGAACGTTTGGTTGGCGGTAATGTCCCACAACTCGGTCGGTGGCTGCGAGTCGTGAATTCCGCAGCGCCTGAAAACGTTGAGAGTTCCGTTCTCTGCGAAACGTTGCTCGATGGCCTGACCTGCTATGCTAGACAATAGGGGTCCTCAAAGTAGGCTGGGAAAGCGGGCTAGCTGGAAAAATTGTGGCGACAATCACCTCCGATCGGAAGCTCGTTTCCAGCTCAGCGCCCAGCTCGCGAAACAGCAGGCTGGGTGAGAGCCAAAAACCAGCCCACCAATGGGAAGAGTGGGGATGAATAATCCAGTTTCCCAGCCTACTTTGAGGACCCCTAATATACTAAATAAAAAAAAACCAAAAATACTCAGTGCTGTCCGCCGTGGTGTAGTGGCTAGCACTTGTCGCTTTCAAGCCTGATCTACGACAAGACTTGGGTTCAATTCCTGCAGCGAAAGGCATTTTACTTTTGTTTGGCATTCATAGCTGCGTCACCATAGTCAAACTCTGACTGCGAGCAACGACATAGAGCCGGCAGGTCTTCCAAGTTTGATTGACTTCCACGCCTCTCAGCAAGACTTTTGTTTGTAGATGGGAACGAGTGCGAACGCCGTCTGAAGGGAAGGAGACTGGGTGTCTTGGCAACCAATGCACCTCGCCGGCAATGCCGTCATAATTCTGGAGTCCATCACGCCAAATAACCGCGACAACTCAACCACCACCACTCAATACAGACTTCTCGAAAATCATGGAGGATATACATTCGCCTTCCGTCGTCGTCGCCGCACGAGAAAACCAGTCTACAGCTTCTGTAGCTGCTAATGGAAGCTCAACGAAAGCTCTTTTCGAGTTGATGAAGGATAAAGATCAGCTCGAAGCCGAGCTCAAAGCGCTGGGCTCGGTTCTTGATTCAGTTGAGCTTCTCTCTGCCTTGTTTGCTGTTCCATCGATCATTATCTGACGAACACGATTGATTTTACAGCATGGAGTCAACATGAACACGTCTCTCACCACTTTTGACGGTTATCCTCGCGACGATATAGATGTTCCGCAGAGTAATGCTACCTGCATACCTTCCCACTGCGTATCCGCGCAGGAGAAACACGGTCTCCTTTTCACCCGAGTTTCAGCTAACAATGTCTTGCATCGCCTTTAGTCCGTCACACCCGAGCCCGAATCATACACCTCCGGAACGACTACAAGGACCTAATGAAGCGAATCGAAGCTGGCCTTTACGCCCATCATGCCGCCCTTGCTGCGTCGGCTCAGGACGACACCACTATCCCCACCACCGCCACTATAATTGCCCCTACTGCCGCGGCCCCAAGAACGACGACCACAAGCGGAGCAAGCGCACCAGAAGACGTGCAGACACCTTTCGCTAAAATCAACAGCGTCGCCCCCAATAGTCCCGCGGCAGAGGCCGGCCTGCAGAAGGGAGATTACATCAAGAAGTTTGGAACCGTGAACGCTCTGAATCACGAGAAGCTCAAGAAGTTAACCGAACTGGTTGCCGCGAACGAAGAGGTCAGTACATCTCCGCCCACCTTCCGAAAGTCCTTATCGCGCCGGGATCAAGTCAGGTATTGATGATGCATGGCTTGCACAGAACCCCGTCACAGTGCTCGTCTCCCGCAGAGAGGCTGGATCAGAGGCGGATCGAGAGCTCACAATCGTTCCTAGGACTTGGGAAGGGAATGGAAAACTAGGGTGTCACATACTTCCGCTCTGAGAGATGTTTGAGACTGCTGTACTTCTGATATGCGGCATCATGTTGTGCTTGCTCGGGGTGCCATCATTCAAACTGATTCTACACACCGCAGAATGTGACTTAGGACTTCCAGCCCCTTTATTGAATGTAAAACTTGCTAACAGTCGTGGTATCAAATGCAAGGCATCGAAATCGGCAACAATACCAGACAGAAAAAAATAAAAGAAAAAGGGTCAATTTCATTACAGTAGTGCTCCCGCTCAAAACATGATGCCACAAAAACGCCTCAAATCGTGTGCTATTCGGAACAAACAAAGAGAGACGAAGCAATCGGGCGATTATCTACCTCCAGAGATCCTCCTAAGAACCCTCGAGTTCAATCGTCACTTGGTTTGCCGCAGCCTCCGTGTGAAGCCACCGAAATATAGCGGCTGCCATATGCTCTTTCGCATTCTTCTTGCCAAGTTTTCCTCGGAGCCTCCCAAACCTGGCATCCTTCTTGTCCCCGCCTCTCCTTACAATCGCACTGACGTCGAAGAGTGAAGGTGCATTTGGGTCTTGGTAAAAGGCATAGTCCGGAAGGGACAGGCCCAGTTGAGGGCAAATACGTGAGACCTTCTCGACAACGCCAATCGTAGCGGGCACCTTGATGATAGAGCCAGGAGGTGCTTTGCCAGCGGATTGTCCACTTCTATTGCTGCCCGCTCTACCTCTCGGAGATTTCGGGGGTATCGGCTGAGGATTCTCATTGAGATAGAGCATCGCTGCCTTTGCTGCCTGCACTTTGGCGATCTTTTTGTTACGGTAGTACATGGCCTTGCTGCCGAACACCTTGGTTTGAACTGAAGGCACTCCGGTTATCTCGCATGAGAACTGTTGATGCGCTTTTGAGGGCTGGAAGAAGGTGTACAGTGGCAGAGCACCCCTCTGCTGGCAAAAGTCTAACGCGCATATCCATTAGTCAACAGCACCTCTCTCTTTAGCAGCAGCAATCATTTTCGCCCCGCACCTTGCAACATTCCTACCCAGTTTACCGATTCCTGCGGATCGTCAGAGCGCATCGACCCCGCGTCCGACGACTCTGCCTTCGGAAGTTGCGCCACCTCGTCCGGTAGCTCTTTAAGATACTCAAGAGCCACGCCGGCAGAAACTTCTTTTGCAAGCTTCTTGGTCGGGAAGCAGCGGTCCGGAGCGAACTCCTTGATGACGGCGTCGTTGACTTTGGATTTGAGGCGCACCTGCACGGTGAAACCGGGCAAGCCGTTTTCGGTCTCGGCGTCGGTGTAGATCCAGTCGGAGGCGATGCTGTAGGGGCTGTAGCTGGCGGATTGCAGCAGCTCGTGGAGCTCCTTGACATACTGGGTGGTGATCGAAGTGGAGATTACGATCGGCTCCAGTTCGGCGCCATCGTTGTTGTTGTCGGCACCACCAGCGCCAACACCACCTTTCTTTTGTTTTTGCTTACCCTTCTTGTTGTCCGAGAGCGTGAGCGCGTCAAGAGCGGCGTTAAGAGATAGGTTAGCGTCGGAGCTTAGGTACTGTTGGATGGATGGAAAGTTCAGGTCCGGCTCGGTGTCATTGAAGTCAAATTCCACAACGGAGACCTCCTCGAACATGGTGCTGGACGACATGGCGAGCTGACTAACGCTAAAGAGTCTATCGCGAGGAAGGCTGAAGTCGGAGAGGAGAGGTGGATTGGCCGGCGACGGGGCGACGGGGGATATGAATTTTGGCGAGGATGCTGGGCGGGAAGGTGGGGAGGGGCCCCGCACTAAAATATAGCTTATCCAGGCCAAGCCTGTATGTCGGGATTCTGATGGAGACAAAGAGATAACGGACGTTTTATGTATTTGCACGAAATATCACCCGCACATTCAGAGTGACATTCTCCAGGTCACGGCAAGGAATGAAAATGCATGCCGCTATCTAAGTTCTTGAGGTTGCGATGTCCAAACGTTTAGCTGACCCTGACCGCCTTAAAGGGGGAATGTTGAGTTCGAGAGTATATATATACTTCTTGCTAGGAACTTGGTAGTCCTAAGAATGCGACTTTATTCTGCATTGGCCACATGTCTGAAAGTGTCCGAGACTGCACGCTGTTTATTTGCAACGAGCGCCTCCGCGAGTCACAGTAAACGGCAGAGTGAGGGGGAAAGTCTTGTTGCTCGTCCTACGGTACACCTCTTTGAACACACGACAGAAGCAGATATTGTGATTACATGGGAGTGGTGATAGATACTTACTTAAGTACTTAAGTACTTAGTTACATGCTTCCGATTAGATGTCGATTGCGAGTGCCGGCAAATAATTATGCAATATCGATATCTCTATGTCATCAGTCTACTTAGGTACCTAGGTAGGTAGTATACAAAACCCAACGCAGCACTGGCTCTATCCATAGATCTCTGCTGGCGCAGTTGTCAGGCAATCCGGATGAAACATCCAACCTGCTTATCCTCTGTTCCGTCCATTTCTTCTACTTCACTTTGCTCGGGGTTTCTGACCCGCCTTCATGCAGTCAGCATTCTTGTCACTACACATAAGTAACACCTTCCTGCACATAGTCAGCTTGTATACCTTCCTCTGTGTGACAAATTTTTCTGTCTTTAGCGAGAATTCATTGCGGCGCCGGAGAAATCTCCACTCCACTCTTCCCATCCGGCCTTTCATGGTCATTGACTGGTATGGAGGGTTTGTGTGCGTATGTATGCATGGTGGCTCGATCGTGCAGCTCGACGAACGTACGTCTGGAGAATCATCAACAATCAACCGGCCCAACAACATAAACCACGCCTTCTCTCAATCCTTCCCACTTCTCCGCCACCACCCCCAACCGTCACCACCTCAAAATGGCTAGCCTCAAAGCGCTCTCCGTCGTTTTGCTCCTCTCCCTCAACGCCTTGTGCTCCGCTGCGGCCGGACAGAGAGCTCACTGCGTTAAGGAGCCTATCCCGCCTCTTGAGCCGGTCACGCAGGCATATGTGGATTCCGGAGCGGGAGGAACCCCCATTTACAAGCTGTCGTATTCGGCGGCTCGTGCCTCCCTTGAGGCCGCCCAAGCTCCCGGCTCCCCCAGCCTGGATACGGTCGACTATAAGGAGCTGGAAATCCCCGTTGGACCTACTGGCTCTGTCAACATCCACGTCTTCCGTCCGCTTGGAACCAGCAACAAGACTCTTCCAGTGATCGTTTATTTCCACGGTAAGTAATCATCTTAATGCCTCCAAGTTCCAAAGACAATTTGCTGAAAAAAACAAATCAGGTGGCGGCTGGATCCTGGGCTCTCCAAAAACCCACCGACGTCTCGTCCTCGACCTGGTCTTTGAAACCGACGCCGCCGTCTTTTTTGTGAACTACACTCGTGCACCGGAGGCTCAATTTCCCGTTCTGATCCAGCAGGCGCAGGCTGCAATTGCCTGGCTCCACGAGTATGGCTACAAGGAGCTCAACCTCGACCACCAGCGGATTGCGTTCGCGGGGGACTCAGTTGGCGGCGGGATGTCAGCGGCGGTCAACTTTCTCTCTCTACAAAAGGGCCGCAGAGACCTAGTCCCGAAGTTCCAGGCCCTTTTCTACCCCCTCACCGACACTTCCAAGGAAAGTTGCACCTACCAGACCTTTTTCGACGGACCTGGCCTGCAGGTGAAGACCCTGCGCTGGATGATCAACGCCTTTGCTCCCAACAAGAGCGACCGCAAGAGCGTTCTTGCCAGCCCCTTACTGGCCAGCGATGGCCTACTCAAGCA